TTTTTTTTTTTTTGGTACCGGAGATCAAACTCGGGTCCTTGCATTTGCAAGGCAAGCAGCGGAACCACTGAACTAAATCCCCGGCCCGAGATTGACATTTTTAAACCTGAATCTACAGTACTGTAATTTGGTACCCCAATTCTTTAAAAATTTAATTTATATTGACGTTGTCTTCTGGAATTTCCTATAAGCTGCCTGAGATAAAATTAAACTCCAGCCTAGTCTTCATTTTATCTGCTTTCTACTTGAGATTATGCCTTCAAAATTAAATCTTATCCAAAACAAAAATACTTTATTACAGAATATAAATCAATAACTAACAAACTGTCCTTAGTAATTTATCATTATTAATAAACCATTGTTTAAGCTTTGACTACAGATATCTAAAACTTTGTAGACTCCTTCCAGACTATTCATAATTTGACAAGATATTCTAAAAGCCCCCTCACACACACACACACACACACACACACACACACACACCACTATTCAACCACTTTGTATAGACCAATTCAGAGTTGTACTTTCTCATTTTATAGCAAAAATTACAAAATTAAAAATAAGACTAAGCATAATAATCAAAAGTTTTACACTGCTCTCTTTCCTTCCCCACATCTTACTGAGTTGGTGACTATGAGCTGAGCCCAAAATAGCAGCTGTGCACTGCCAGGTTAGCCACAGTCATTTCCAAGCCAAGGGGGAACAGACAGATACCCCCTTTACAAGTCTAGTGTTTGTAAATATCCAATGAAATGACTTCATTTAGTCAATTATTTCTAGAGAAAGCTGGCAGAATAATATGGTAATTAAATTGAGGACCAATGGAAACTGTTAAACAGGAATTATTTTGCCCAGAAGTTCTAGTTAATGCTTTTTATGTGTTTTCATTTTTTAAAAAATGCTAGAAATGCTAGTGCAATTAGAAGAAATTTCTTCTTCATTAGAAAACATATTTAAAATATTCCAGGGAAGACAGCATAGATAGGGAGAGGAGAAATTCAGTTTTCTAGTATCTTAATAGAGTCAGTATGATTTCTTTAAGAATGTATGATGAATTCTGAAATTAAAACAAGCAGAAAAAACCCCAAAGCCAAAACACCATATAGACAAGACTCAATTGCCCAGGTGCTAAGTATTAACTTCATACTGCTGCATATTTTTCCCAGTCTACACTTAGCTCCTCTCCTGGCCACCAGGAAGACATGATTCACCCATCCATCCATCCACCCATCCATCCATCCATCCATCCATATTAACCCACCATCTCAGGCATTGTTCTAGTACTTTGTAACACAGCAGTAACAAAATTACTTTCCAATATACCTCACATTGCTCCCTAATAGTAACACACTCAGGGACAGACAAAAATTTTAATGCAACAGAATATTTTGGAATCTGAAAACTGATGGAAAGAGCTCTGAATCCTTCCCAAAGGAAAATAGGAAAATGCAAGGTGTTAATTTTCTTGTAGCACTCCATTTTTTAAAAGTTTTTTTTTACTAGTGCATGTTTGTAATATATAATTATATTCATCATGGGAGATATATATATCTCTAATCTTAATCATTTATAGCACGTCATTTTAAAATGACTCTTACATATCGTCATGCAAGGCATATATATTTTATTCTGATCCCCTAACATTAGTAAACATTAACTAACATTAGTAGTAGACTAGACATTAAAGAAGAAAATGGTAAAAATAATAGTGAATTTGAAAACTTAGCAAGACAAATTATACAAAATGAAGCAAAGAGAGAAAAAAGATATTAAAACATTAAAACATCATCAGTGAGCTACAGAAAAACTTTAAGTGGTTAACACATATATAATAAAAACCCCAAAAGAAAGGAGAAAGAAGGAAACTAAAATAAGTAAATAAATGAAGAAATAATGGTTAGAAAATCTTTGTTTGATAATAACTATAAATACAAACACATACCAAGCATCTCAAAGAACCCCAATTATAAGAAATATATAAACTATGCCAAGTCACATCATCTTCAAACTGAGCAAAAATAGTAATAAGCAAAAATCCTCAAGAAGACAGAAAACAAGATATATGAAGGAACAAAGATGAGAATGATAGTAGAGTTCTCATAAAAATTATGCAAGCTAGAAGATGGTGGAGCAGCATCTATAAAGCACTAAAAAGAAGTCATACTAGAATTTTGTACCCAATAAAATACCTTTCAAAAGCAAAGGCAAAAGTTTTTCATATAGAAAAAAGCTTAAAAA